TTAGTTGAGTCAGAATGTAGTTCTCATGCTTTCTTATATGTTTGTGTACTCCATCTTTCTAGATGATATTCCCCTTACCTGAGAAGAATATGTTTCTTTCCCGGTTTTCTTACATGCTCTCTGGTCATTACATTTGTGTATTTCCGTTATTATTAGCAAAATGGCATTCAGATTCTATTTGTTTGCATCACAACCAATGTCTGTAATGAATGCTTGCAATGGAGACGTCATTAAGAATGATGTTGAAGTTTGCCTTTGATCCTAAATCACTGGATGTAGATCCTTCAATTTGTTTAAATCCGAGAGATACGATGTTATTCTTCGATTAGGTACAACTCACTTTCTGTTCTTTACATATTTGCCGAAAAGAAATTCTTAGTTCACCATGTGTTCGTGTTTTTGCCTCTCGTGTTCACTTTTGTAAGTCATTTAAGACAGCTGAAATTGAACTGTTTTAAGTGTTGTCCTAAATGTCTAAAACGTCTTACAAAAGTGAACGGAGGGAGTAATTTAATCAATTTTGTGTATGATGTTGTCTGAAACTCTCATCTTTATTCAAACAAATACCTGACTTCTGTGAGTTCTATTTGTGTGTGGCACTACTGTATTCAAATCTAAATCTTTAGAGGTTGCAAGTACATCATGTTTTCTTTGTAAATTGTCGTGAGTCTATGAGTTTCTTAGCGATCCTTCCTTGATTTATAACCTTGGATGTAAATTATATTTTTAAGTACACAGCAGTATATACCTATGGTTAATTTTGAAGAGTTGTGGCACATGATGCAGGCTATGAGACCAAGCTACGCCTCCCCCGAGTAAGCATATCAAAGCTTGTCTAGGACATTGAGGCAAGTTCTCTACCCTGTGAAAATGCTAAAAGGTGACTCATGTTCCTAGAGTATTTCTGAATCGCATACGCTTCCAATCTGTTAATTTAATTTTACTGATTAGCGGTACAACCTTCCAGATCATTTCTGTCGCTAGAGCTCATCGACACGTCTCAAGACGATGTTGATGTTGTTATCTGCACCAGCGACAATGACGGTGAGCACACAGCCCACATCAAACAACCTACATGCGCTACATATGTCTCGCAACAACCAGCAGCCTAGCACCCAAGCCTCTCCTTCCGGCTTTTGCCCTAAAGGATCTAAAATCTTGGCAAGAAACCAAAATCGGATCATCATCTCCGCTACATCATTTGTGGTGACAAGGTGAAGCTCTATCAACAACATGTTGACAAGCTAGAGCACCTCATACATGCTAAAGAACCCATCATACCATAGTACATCTGCCTCATGAATAAGACATTTGCAAGACAGGATGAGTGGATGGTGACTATCTCCTCACCTTATCTTTCCATTGGACATAAAATAACACCCTGCTGAACTTCATAATCATATCTTTCTCCAATCTGCAGTTGTTCTCCATTAGTTTCACCAATGAGCACCTCCTAGAGTGCATTGGATCAGATCTGGATGACCTGTCAATCAAGTTTAGAAGCAGGAGCATTCACAACATCGCTCACATTATCACAACAACTGATGGCAGGCGATGATTGCCACAAACTAGACAGATTTTTCACGACGCTAACAGGACGGCAAATCATCTTATGTTTACAAGGTTGCACCATCACATGATGATTGTTACAGTCAAATTTCCAGACCTTTACAAACTAGCGCACTGCTCTCTAATGATGGATAAATCTCCCGCCTCCTTGTATAGCTTGTCTATCAAAGGACATGTATCCATATACATCCGTGTCAATTCACGCCGTCATACTGTACTTTTGGACCAACAAAGCCTAACCCAAAAAATAAAAAAGACAGTGGAAGGGGCGCATCTCATCTGGCACCGCCCCAACCATTATTAGAAGAAAGGGTCTAGAAGGGTCACTTGTTAATCTGGCACCGCACAACAAACAATCAGGCGGGATATCAAGGTATTGTGTAACTTTATATGTAGTAATCTGGATAGTTTAAATTTATTAGAGCATAAATATATTAATAATTAATCTATAGTACTTTATATTGTTATAGTTGTTTATAAATATATTAACATTACTTCATATATAATATTGATGTTCAAGAATAATTAGTTGGGAAAAACAGACAAATAATTATTAGTAATTCTCTATTGCCATAACATCATAATTATGGCAGTTAGCATAGTAACTTTGACACTTTTTAGATACGCACCAACCTTTCAATTTACTCAATCACATCAGCATATTGTGTTTGAAGTTTGCTTATATGAAAACAGGTGTTGAATTTCCTTGTTGCGTTTTCTTTTGATTTATCATCTGTTAGATTTTTATCTTTTTGATATTTGCATGGGATGGATTTGAACTTCATTCTTGCTAAAAGCCTCTATGCAAGTTTGTTCGAGATACTTGTAGAACAAATCAACAAGTCCCTTTTAGTTGGCAAGCGACGAGTTGGGAGGTCAATCAGTTTCCCCCTGCATCTGCAAAGGGATGCGATGGATTTGCTCTCAGCGCCGCCTCCATCCCTGAACCATCTTTGTCACATGCAACAGCCGACTTATCTCGGTGCGGCGGGAGTGATTGTTTAAGGAGATTGAGGCTCGGGGTGACGAGGCACAGAAGCAACACGATGACGACGCAAAGAAGTCACAAGTCGGTGGCTCCCACGGCTTTGCGTTGGCCGCCACATTGATCGGTGTTCTGTTTTTTTTTTTTTTGGTTTTTTGTTTTTATTATGACAAGTGTCCTGTTTTTTTGGTAAATTGCCTTGAACGACTGAAGCTTGATGGATGTCCACGAACATAGCTGTTTGCTGATCCACTTTGGAGATGCCCTAATTTCATTGTATTTGAGTATCATTTATTTAGCTCTTTTGAAATTTATATTGCAACTTCTTGTAAAATGCCATGCTCATGTGTTACCAAGATTGCAAAAAAACAGCTGAAATGGGCTGTTGCCAACCAGGCACCGCCCCAGCTTCCTTTCTGGAGGCGCCACAAGGTGACGCCTCAACCCCTAGTAAAACTTAGATGTGCAATACTTATGGCACATCTAGATGTGCATTAGCAAAACTGATCTTCTTTATAGCCGCCATACTGCACCACGAGCTCAACTCACAGGCATCTCGGCTTTTTCCTGCCAACTCATCGAAGCTTAGATTATGTGTTACAATGAGCAAATTATAGTGGATTTGCCGGAATTTTGATAAAGTGGTGGTTTTTTACAACTCAGCGATATCGCTGGCTACTAAACCACCCACAATCGGGAAGCCCTTTATGCACCAAAAGAGAGCGCAAAGCATTTAAATCTCTGAAAGAGTACCGATCTGAACGCTTGGGACTAGCACTTCCGTCAGACCCCATGAAACAATCTGCTTGTGGCCCAAACAGAAAAATCAATCAACCCGTATTCATGCCAATGAAACGTTAAATGAGCGTGAAATGTCACCAATTCGACCCTCCTGCACTATCTACTACGTGTGGTCGGTTAGACACATTTTGTCACACCAAAACTGGACTAAAACGGTGTTAGGTATTTCAATCATACATACGTAAGACTTGCAGACGACCACAGGTAAGAAAAAGAAGAAAGAACATATAACAGTGTAGTACAAACTACAAACATAACCGGCTTCTACTAATGCACTGCGGATATTGGTCTCAACGACAGAAACAAACAAGAGCGCAACATGCAAAATTAATTCGATCCAGTGACACCTACCTAAATTAGAAGACACTATCGTAATGTACACAAACCAAAACATAACTACCATGGGCAAACCCAGTGGTACTAACCAGCAATAAGAAGAATTATACAGCACACTAAAGACATCACAACATAATTCTTGTTGTTGTTTAATGGAACGGAAGAAGTATGTATTTCAAACATACATGCCAACAGCGCATAAATTAGGCGGGTGGTAGTGCAGCCTGAATTTTGTTGCTCTGCTATTGATTGTGTGAGAGCTCAACAAATCCACACGGCAGAAGGAGCAGGCAAACCAGGCAGACGAGCAAACCGGGCAGACGACCAACAAAGGGTATCGTGTGAGACTCAACAAAACCACACGGCAGAAGGAGCAGGAAAACCAGGCAGACGACCAACAAAGGGTATCATACCTTACCACAAACACAGAATCAAAGCGCAAAACCTGAATCAGGGAGGATCACAAGGCTAAGAAACACCACAACAGTTTAGTATCAACATCAGCGGTTTCTAGTCAATGCACAGCAGATAGTAGTTTCAGCAACGGGAAACCAGCAAGAGCACAATGTAACAAAGCAAACCCGTTCAATGGGGATTTTGCTAAGGAGTCGAACAAGAAAAATATGCACATGACCACAACCAAATAAACAGCAGAAAGCCCTACACCTCGTTCGGTTAAACCAAATACCAGCCTGACCTACAAGCTATCCTCTGTTTGCATTGCAGGGCAGAACTATACTCCCAGTGCAGGAGTCGTTCCTTGGACACTATTTCCTAAAGCCAGTTAAAAGAAACTCATAACTAATTCAATCATGTAAACTTACCTAAATTGAAAGACACTATCACAGCATAACAAACCAAAATATGTGCTTATGAGAACAAAAGCAACAATCGATGGTTTTATATAGCAGCACTAATCAGAAAACAATTGTACAACGCACTAAACCCATCACAAACCTAGAAGGCATGTACCACTACTGAACGTTATTGGTATGTTAGGACAGAACATCGGCCTACATATTGCAAGTGTTGGAAGATCATGACAGTAAATACATATATAATTAACAATAGATAGATAGCTCATAAATCAATCAATCATCGAGTAACGAGCATAAACTTCAAAGCTCAACAGTAATATATCGAATCACTTCAGATAAAAGATGAGATAAACAGATGATGTTCACCATACGCAGATCAAAATACCTCGAACTTAAGCTCTGAGTTCAAAACATCACTTGCCACAAGTAACAGATCTAATAATAAAACATGTAAAGATGATAGGGGTACGACGACGACGATGCGGAGGAACCTAGGCGCGATTGCCACCGCGGGGTCCGTTGAAGGGCTGGCGGTAGGGGGCAGCGGCAGAGGTGGCCTCGGGGGCGCGCTCAACGCCGGGGAGGTCGGCCATGCCGAGGAACGCCAGCATGTCCATGGTCTCCTTGTCGACGCGGATCTCGTCGACCTCGAGCGCCGACTTCTCCGGCACGAAGTCCATGCGGCGCTCACGCTCCTCCTCCTGCAGCTTGAGGGAGATGCCGCGCACGGGGCCGCGCTGGATGCGGCGCATCAGATGGGTGGTGAAGCCGGCCACCTTGTTGCGGAGGCGCTTCGACTGGAGGATGGAGACCTCCTCGAGCACCTTCTTGTTGGTGTGGAAGTCGAGGGTCATCCGAGAGTAGTACTTCTCGATGACCTGGCGGGAGGTCTTCTTCACGGTCTTGGTGCGGACGCGACCCATGGCTGCGGCTGCTCCGTCTCCTTCTCCGGCGGCGGCTGGGCGCTGGTTGGTGCGGGGTGCGGCGGCGCGAGGGCAGGAGGAGTAGGGTTTGGGGGCGACGGGAGGGGAGGAACTTCTTATAATGGGTACCGGCCGCGTGGGTAGCTAGGGTTTCGGCGTGGAGGACGGATGCCAGCCGTTCGTGTTGCGATGGGCGCACAAGATCGTGATTGCCTTTGTTGGGCTTCGCATTGTTCGGAAGCTCTCTTCTGTACTCATTTAGGTTGATTTAGGCCCATTAGATTAGAATAGAACTGGACTGGAATCGTATCAGGCCATGTCTAATCAACACTTCTTATCTCCCTTTCCCTAGGGCTGCAAACGAGACTAGGCTCAGCAAATTTATACTAAGACTACAAAAAGGCAAACTTATACTTAAAATTCTATTTTCCTATAATATATATCATAATTATTTAATATTATAATAATTATATTATATCGGTTTAAATTTGAGCGAGCCAGTGTTGGCTCAAGATCAGTTTGTTTCTGAGTTAAAATCGTATCAGGCTCTGTCTTGTCAACACTTCTTATTTCCCTTACCTAGGGCTGCAAATGCATTTCCTATTCGGCACATGTAGCACTGTTTACTTTGTACAGGGTGTCCACGTCCCTTCACTAGGTTTTTAAGTGTGCCATCTCTCCTTAAACCTATTTTGGGAACCTTCTAGGATCCCACCAAAATTTTAGGGTTTGTTTCTTTAGGTTTGTTTGGGACTGGGTTTTTCTCGGGTTTTTTGGTTTTCTCTTTTTCGTTCAATCTTTCTATATATTATATATTTATTTGTTTATTTTCCAAACTTTGTATTTTTTTTAAATTCAATAATATTTTTTAAATATGTAAACTTTTCAAAAATTCATGAACTTTTTTTAATCCGCAATTATTTTTGAATCCCTGAACTTTTCTTAAATTCAAGGACTTTTTCCAAATCTGTGAAAAAATCAAATTTACATCAAAAGTTGAATTGATTAACTTTTTCAAAATTTTGAACCTTTAAAAAAAACAAATTCATGAACTTTTTCAAAAATCAATGGTCATGGGTCAATTGTCGGTGTCAATGGTCAGTGTTCAAACTATCATTGGTCAAATGGTCTCGTGGGTCATGGCCCATCTACCACGCGCGTGAGCTCTGTCAGTATGGACGAGCGCTATAAGCACAGCATGGGAGATCTCTCAAGCGAATCAGGTCCCAGTGAGTGGTTGAGCAAATTTGTACTAAAATTCGAGGAGCTCGAATTGAGCAAAGTTCAAGGTCGAGTTATAAAAAGTGGCTCATGCTTAGCTTGTAATAATCTTGAGCCGATTTTGAGTCATTCTAGATAAAAAACATGATTTTTTTTTAATAATCTTACGCGACTCTTCTCACAAGATAGGCCACAACACAACATAAGAACCCATTATAAAACAATATTTCAATCAAAATGATGATAATATGAGAAAACAAGGTAGTTTGACTTATTCTCTCTAAACTACTAATATGTCATAGCAAATATCGTGCATGAACTTAAAAGAGAAGAAAACAGAGGTGTGTTTGGTCTCAAACTTTGGCAAAAAAAGTCCATTTTACTACCCTAGAGAAAATGTCTAGTTCACATAACCCTTGATCATTTTTTCTGCTCTCTTAACCCATTGATCTATCCCATACCGTTTAGAAATCATCATGGGTAGCTTTTCTCAAGAGGTTTTCTTACTTGGGCGTGGTCAAACGGTATTTGACATGTGGGAGCTATGGTGGATCACAGCGGCGACGTTGGCTGCGGGGAGGATGGAGAGCACCAGGTAGAGGGAAAAGAGGTCTTGCAGCACCAGAGGCTCACTAGAAGCTCAATAGAGAGGTCAACGAGACCGGAGAGGCTGGGCTGCGATGCCATGGATTAGGGTGGTAGCGATGGAGTCTGGAGCTTTCGATGAGGAGGACATGCGCATCTTCAGTAGCACGGCAGGGATGCTACACGGCCAAGGAAGAAGCCGGGGACTCGCTCTTTTGTGTTGTTTCTGCTAAAACTTCTCTTTTTCTTCATTTTCCTGTGGGGTTAGTTCCAACACAGTCCATAGGCATATTTCCAAGCATTCAAATGTCAATAGAACACATAATTTAACTTGCACATAGCAAAGCCTTCATTAGAACAACTCTGCCAAACTCAACTTCTTTATCTAGAACTTCAACACTCCTTTTATTAAAACAAAAATAAAACTTACTTGTCTACTTTATTCGCGTGGTTTGCCTCTCATGAAGCGCTTGTTTTCAGCCCGTTAGCTCCACCATAGTGGTGATCATGGTGGTGCAAACACACCTAGACCATAGCTTCTCACATTGACAACAATGCCTTCTCATGTGTAGGTCTTCATTTTCTTTTTCCTGGGGAAATGTCTCTCAAAGGATCTTTAGCGGGTAAGTCAAATCTAACACTCCCCTCAAACACATTCATCACAGCTTTGATGGTCCTTAGAAAAGGTCTACCGAGAATTATATGAACAATAGGATCTTTAGGCTTATCAACTATCACAAAGATCAATCATGATAGGGCAATCATTTATTTTAGCTATAACTCCATGCTTATTTCCTACTGCCTGAGTAAAAGTATAAATTAGCCATATTCAATCTAATATTAGTCGTAGCATAAGGGCCTAGATTGAGACTGACACGTCTCCGACGTATCTATAATTTATGAAATATTCACGTCGTTATATTATCATTCTTGGATGTTTTACAATCATTTAATAGAAACTTTATATCATTTTTGGGGACTAACCCATTGACCTAGTGCACAGTGCCACTTGTTGTTTTTTGCTTGTTTTTTACATCACAGGAAATCAATATCAAACGGAGTCCAAACACCGCGAAACTTTTTGTGGATTTTTTATGGACCAAAAGACTCCCGATGGGCCAGAGCAGCACCTGGGGGTGCCTCGAGGGGGGCACCTATTGGGGAACATAGCATGCAATTTCAAAAATTTCCTACGCTCACGCAATATCTATCAAGGAGATGCATAGCAACAAGAGGGGGAGAGTGTGTCCACGTACTCTCGTAGACCGAAAGCGGAAGCGTTTGACAATGCGGTTGATGTAGTCGAACTTCTTCTCGTTCCGACCGATCAAGCACAGAATGTACGGCACCTCCGAGTTCTGCACACGTTCAGCTCGATGACGTCCCTCAAACTCTTGATCCAACAAAGTGTCGAGGGAGAGTTTCATCCGCACGACGGTGTGGTGACGGTGATGGTGAAGTGATCCGCCCAGGGCATCGCCTAAGCACTATGACAATATGACCGGAGGCGTAAACTGTGGAGGGGGGGCGCCGCACACGGCTAACAATCATTGTTATGTGTTCTAGCGGTTCCCCCCTCATATATATAGGTTGGAGGGGAGGAGAGGCAGCCAAGGGGGCGCCCCAAGTAGGAGGAATCCTACTTGGGCGCCCCCCAATTTGGCCTCCCCCCTTCCACATCCATTTGGAGGGGGAGGAAGGAGGAGGGAGGAGGGAAGGAAGGGGGAGGTCGAATCCCTCCCCCTTCCTTTCTCCCTTCTCTTCTTTCCTTCCCCCTTTTTTAGCCTACATGGGGCGCACCAGCCCCTTAGGGGCTGGTCTGTCCCCCTCTTGGCCCATTAAGGCCCATGTAGTTGCCGGGGGGATGCCCGGAACCCCTTCCGGTGACCCGATATGCATCTGGTACACCCGGAACACTTTCGGTGTCCGAATACCATCGTCCAATATATGAATCTTTACCTCTCGACCATTTCGAGACTCCCCGTCATGTCTGTGATCTCACCCGGGACTCCGAACAACATTCGGTCACCAAATCACATAACTCATATAATACAAAATCGTCATCGAACGTTAAGCGTGCGGACCCTACGGGTTCAAGAACTATGTAGACATGACCGATACACTTCTCCAGTCAATAACCAACAGCAGAACCTAGATTCTCATATTGGTTCCCACATATTCTATGAAGATCTTTATCTGTCATATCATAATGACAACATACGGTATTCCCTTTGTCACCGGTATGTTACTTGCCCGAGATTCGATCGTCGATATCTTCATACCTAGTTCAATCTCGTTACCGGCAAGTCTCTTTACTCATTCCGTAATACATCATCCCGCAATACATCATCCCGCAACTAACTCATTAGTCACATTGCTTGCAAGGCTTATTATGATGTGCATTACCGAGAGGGCCCAAAGACACCTCTCCGATACTCGGAGTGACAAATCCTAATCTCGGTCTATGCCAACCCAACAACCACCTTCGGAGATACCTGTAGAGCATATTTATAATCACCCAGTTACGTTGTGATGTTTGATAGCACACAAGGTATTCCTCCGGTATCCCGGGGTTGCATAATCTCCTAGTCGAAGGAATATGTATATGACATGAAGAAAGCTATAACAATAAAACTGAACGATCAACATGCTAAGCTAACGGATGGGTCTTGTCCATCACATCATTCTCCTAATTATGTGATCCCGTTTATCAAATGACAACACATGTATATGGTTAGGAAACTTAACCATCTTTGATTAACGAGCTAGTCTAGTAGAGGCTTACTAGGGACATGATGTTTTGTCTATGTATCCACACATGTATCAAGTTTCCGGTTAATACAATTCAAGCATGAATAATAAACATTTATCATGATATAAGTAAATATAAATAACAACTTTATTATTGCCTCTAGGGCATATTTCCTTCAGTCTCCCACTTGCAGTAGAGTCAATAATCTAGTTCACATCGCCATGTGATTTAACACTAATAGTTCACATCTTTATGTGATTAACACCCGTAGTTCACATCGCCATGTGACCAACACCCAACGGGTTTACTAGAGTCAATAATCTAGTTCACATCACTATGTGATTAACACCCAAAGAGTACTAAGGTGTGATCATGTTTTGCTTTGTGAGAGAAGTTTAGTCAACGGGTCTGCCATATTCAGAACCGTATGTATTTTGCAAAT